TAACAAAGAAGTACAAAAAGTATCAAATATAACAACCTCATTCATTGCTTTCTAATTTTTGCATTTTAAATCCACACATAAAGGATTGAAAGATTTTAAGTACTGGGACCGAATGGTTAGATTAACATTAGCTCTGACGTAGAATCGCGCGATTGACGTCAGAATGTAAACGTCACACAGGAAAAAATATAAAATAATTTTGTCGTTCAAAGTATGGAAAGAATATAGTCTATAGTTCGTTTAGGTATATCATCTGCAGAATGTAAATTGGAAGTTAACCTTGTCCATCTTGCCGCTTGTCTATATGTTTATTGTGTATTTCTTCTAAAAAAGAGCCACGTCATTGTGTATCAAAGAAACACAAAAGAGCATAGTTATAAACAAAGCATTAGCAAATATGAAAGACAAGAATACCAAAATTATAATAGATCAATAACACAATGGCGGGATGTTTAAGTATAAAGCCACGTCATATGTACCAAAGAAACACAAAAAGTCACACGGACAAAGCACATAAGCAAAAATGAAAGATAATACAAACAACACAATGACGGAATGAATAAGTACAGAGCCACGTCAAAGGGATATCACAATAACAGACCAAACAGTAAAAATGATTTTAATAAGACAAATAAAAGAACACTATAACACGTTATTAAGATGATAAACAACGTCAGTACGCAGAATCTATACTTCAAGACCATCGTGTATTATTTGTGAAGTTGATACGGCATATTGATGAACAAGGTCTTAATTGGTACCTTCCGATGAACGTTTTTAGAAAAAGGACGAGACGTTCTTTGACATACCCCTGGTTCATCAACTTTCTGCTCAGACACTGGTGACGTATTACAAAGTCTGTGTAGGAGCTTTAAGCTCTTGAATACCGAATGAGTTGGGAAATGTATATCCCATATGCAGGTGAAGTTGGTATATTGCTACTAAGGTGGGGGAAATTGATGATTTCAAAATTAAAATAGTCTCGTTTGTCATAGATTCTGGTTGTGTATGTCAAATTCGAGGTATAAGTCTAAAAATGAGGCGGAGGAAGCCGTGTCTGTTGTTTCTCTTATTTCTAGTTCTCGGTGATAGATTAATGAAACCCAATCAGAACCCAAGTTCGGATTGTTAATGGAAATAACATCATCAATATATCTGAAAGTGAAATTAAATAACCTGGCTTCTTTGATCTTCTTGTTTATGACAAGTGTCCGACGGAACTCCGATTCATATGAAAATAAGAAGAGATCGGCAAAGAAAGGCGTACAGTTCGATCCCATAGGAATGCCGACAGTTTGTTGAAAAAGTCTACCTCCAAATTCAAAAAATATGTTGTCGATAAGAAACTCCAGCATACTGATCACTTGTTCCTCTGTGTAGCATGTCTTACCCTTTTGTTCACTATTAACAAAATATGCCTTATGGTACCCCAAAGTAATAAATTTATAGCGTATGCTACCATTTTTATGTTGAAAGGCATTGTGGAGTATTTCTTTTAGACGATTTTTCGATTTCACATGGTGAATGGTGGTATACAGGGTCGAAAAATCAATAGTTTTGATAGAACTAATTTCAGAAAAAAGACACGAGATTGAAAATTATCCAGAAGTTTGTTTTTTTTAGAATTTTTAAGAATCAACATATGGTTAATACCACCACGCGAGTAAACAGTTTCACAGTATTTCTGAAGACTCTCTTTCACTGAGGAAATAATTTTAGTCAATCTAATAGACAATTCTTTAGTTGAACAGTGCCCTGCCACGCCCACTCTGTGTTTTCGTAAGATGTATTTTTGCTGTGTATCCATCTGACGAGTTAAGCCCTTTTTAGCTGTTCTTATGTTGTATTGTCACATCACTGTCCCAGGTAAAGAGGATGTATTGCGCCTTCAAACTACTTTTACCCTGCCACATTCTGTATGTGCCTGTCCAAAGTCAGAATTCAGGCCGTTAATTTTATCGTCTGAATTATTTTGCACTTGCTATTTCGGGTCCATTTTACCTGACTATGCGGCATGGGTTTTCATTTTTGCCTAAGTGCTTTGTCGATATCAATATAAGAAGATGTTATATGAGCGCCAATGAGACAACTCTCCATCTAAGTCACAATATGTATAAGTAAACCATTATAGGTCAATGTATAGTTTTCATACGGAGCCTTAGCTCACACCGAACAGCAAGCTAATAAAGGCCCCGAAAATGACTAGTGTAAAACCATTCAAACAGGAAAACCAAAGGTCGTCTATTCTATATGAAAAAACGAGGAACGAGAAACACGTATGAACCACATCAAAAAACGACTACCACTAGCATCAAGTTCCTGACTTTAGACAGGTGCAAACAAATGCAGCGGGTGTAAATGTTTTAATAGGTACCAACCTTCACCCTTACCTGAAACAATAGTGTAACATCACAACATAGAAAGACACATTATAAAATATCATTTGAAATGGTTTAACTCAATCAAAAGACACATTAACAAAAACAAGTGAACATACACATGCCTTTTTGTGTTTCTTTGTTACAAATGACGTGGCTCTGTATTTATGCATCATGTCATTGTGTTATTGTACTATGGTAAATGTTTTGTATTCTTGTCTTTTATTTTTGCTAATGTGTTTTGTCAATATGCCTTTTTAGTGTTTCTTTGTTACATATGACGTGGCTCTGTACTTATACATCCCGTAATTGTATTCTTGTCTCTCTTTTGTGCTTGTGCTTTGTCTTTATGCCTTTTTGTGTTTCTTTGTTACACATTTGATTGTTTTTATAGTGATTAAGATTATAGCACAATGTTGACCGCTGTACCCTAAATTTGTGACATTCTTATCTATTATGTCTTTTTGTTTTGTTCACACATCGTTGTTAATATAATAAAATTTTATGCGAATGTCATACAAGTGAGAAATTAAGCTACATACGAAAATGTCTGTACCAAGTCAGGAATATGACAGTTGTTATCAATGCGTTTGATGTGTCTGAGCTTTTGATTTTGCCATTTAATTACAGACTTTCCGTATTGAGTTTTCCTCGGTGTATTTTTGTTATTTTACTTTTTACTCATTGATAAAGGCCGTACGATGAACTATAATTGCCAATGTCTGTGTCAGATTGGTCTCTTCTGGAGAGTTGTCTCATTGTCTGTTGTTCAGTTAAGACAAAGAAAATTGAGATAAAGAGAACATAATTTAATCGTTTTATACTTTTCATGAGGATATATGCTTCAATTTTTTAAATTACTCTTACAAAAAAATATTTTATTGTATTCACATATGAGTCACACCACCACTTGCGTAGTTTGTTGAACAGTAACTTTTTAGACAAATTTTAATTGCAGATATAGATAGACGTACACAATTTTGAAAGAGGTTTCGTACAAATGTAAAGCCTTTCGAGCATTACAATGTTGTTTGTAAGGACAATTGTGTAATTTGGGAATCAAAATTGTAAAAGAAGCTCCAGATCATATAATTGAGTCAATTTGCCCAATTTATATAACACATTTTGTTTTCTATAACAAGATACATTTATTTCATGTAAAAGTTTTTATCTTTAGCAAGATACAATTTGTTTTATATAACACAGTTTTTATCTTTAACAAGATACATTTTTTATATATTCACTTTTTTATCTTTAGCAAGATACATATTTTAACACAGTTCCTTTTTTTAAGATACGTTTTTTTTTTATATATAAAAAAAATATAAGATACATTTTTTCTATATATAACACAATTTGTTTTCTTGAACCAGACACAATTTGTTTTTTCCAAAACAATGTTTTGTTATCTTTAATAAGTAGCATGCTTTTTATAACATTGTTTTTTAAAATTTTATTTCTAACAAGATACTTGTTTTTTTTGTATAACAAATCTTTTATCATGAAAATTTTCAATTTGTTTTATGTAACATATTGTGTTATCTTGAACAAGATACATGTCTTTTTGTAAAAAACAATTTGTTTTATTAACAACAATATAAAATTTGTTTTTTAATAACAATGTGTTTTTTCATCTATAACGAGATATATGCTTTTTTTTATTTTGTATAACAGTTTTTATCTTGAACAATTTACATTTTGCAAAAATGATTTGTTTTTCAGATAACAATGTGTTTTCATCTTCAACAAGATACTTGTTTTTTTATCTTTAACAAGGTACCTGGTTCTTTTCTTGTATAACACATCTGTTATCTTGAACAATTTAAAATTGTTTTTATGTAACATACTGTGTTGTCTTTAACAAGATACAAGTCTTTTTTTTTGTATAACACAGGGTTTTTTTTTTATCTTAAACAAGATACCTGGTTTTACTCTTGTATAACACATTTGTTATCTTAAACAATTTACAATTTGGTTTTTTTTATGTAACAGATTGTGTTGTCTTTAACAAGATACATGTCTTTTTTTGTATAACACAGTTTTTTTTATCTTTAACAAGATACCTGGTTGTATTCTTCTATAACACATTTGTTATCTTAAACAATTTACAATTTGTTTTTTCTATGTAGCATATTTAGTTGTCTTTAACACGATACATGTCTTTTGTGTATGACACAGGTTTTTTTTATCTTTAACAAGATACCTGGTTTTTTTCTTGTATAACACATCTGTTGTCTTGAACAATTTGCAATTTGTTTTTAACGTAACATAGTATGTTGTCGTTAACAAGATACACGTCTTTTTTGTATAACACAGGCTTTTTTTATCTTTAACAAGATACCTGGTTTTATTCTTGTTTAACACATCTGTTATCTTGAACAATTTAAAATTGTTTTTATATAACATACTGTGTTGTCTTTAACAAGATACCAGTCTTTTTTTTATAACACAGGTTTTTTTTTTATCTTTAACAAGATACCTGGTTTTATTCTTGTATAACACATTTGTTATCTTAAACAATTTACAATTTGTTTTTTTTTATGTAACATATTGTGTTGTCTTTATCAAGATACATGTCTTTTTTGTATAACACAGATTTTTTTTTTTATCTTTAACAAGATACCTGGTTGTATTCTTCTATAACACATTTGTTATCTTAAACAATTTACAATTTGTTTTTTTATGTAGCATATTTAGTTGTCTTTAACAAGATACATGTCTTTTGTGTATGACACAGGTTTTTTTTTATCTTTAACAAGATACCTGGTTTTTTTCTTGTATAACACATCTGTTATCTTGAACAATTTACAATGTGTTTTTAACGTAACATAGTGTGTTGTCTTTAACAAGATACACGTCTTCTTTGTATAACACAGTCTTTTTTTTTTATCTTTAACAAGATACCTGGTTTTATTCTTGTTTAACACATCTGTTATCTTGAACAATTTAAAATTGTTTTTATATAACATACTGTGTTGTCTTTAACAAGATACAAGTCTTTTTTTTATAACACAGTTTTTTTTTTATCTTAAACAAGATACCTGGTTTCATTCTTGTATAACACATTTGTTATCTTAAACAATTTACAATTTGTTTTTTTTTTATGTAACATATTGTGTTGTCTTTATCAAGATACATGTCTTTTTTGTATAACACAGATTTTTTTTTATCTTTAACAAGATACCTGGTTGTATTCTTCTATAACACATTTGTTATCTTAAACAATGTACAATTTGTTTTTTTATGTAGCATATTTAGTTGTCTTTAACAAGATACATGTCTTTTGTGTATGACACAGGCTTTTTTTTTATCTTTTACAAGATACCTGGTTTTATTCTTGTTTAACACATCTGTTATCTTGAACAATTTAAAATTGTTTTTATATAACATACTGTGTTGTCTTTAACAAGATACAAGTCTTTTTTTTATAACACAGGTTTTTTTTTTATCTTAAACAAGATACCTGGTTTTATTCTTGTATAACACATTTGTTATCTTAAACAATTCGCAATTTGTTTTTTTTTTATGTAACATATTGTGTTGTCTTTATCAAGATACATGTCTTTTTTGTATAACACAGATTTTTTTTATCTTTAACAAGATACCTGGTTGTATTCTTCTATAACACATTTGTTATCTTAAACAATTTACAATTTGTTTTTTTATGTAGCATATTTAGTTGTCTTTAACAAGATACATGTCTTTTGTGTATGACACAGGTTTTTTTTATTTTTAACAAGATACCTGGTTTTATTCTTGTATAACACATCTGTTATCTTGAACAATTTACAATGTGTTTTATGTAACATACTGTGTTGTCTTTAACAAGATACACGTCTTTTTTGTATAACACAAGTTTTTTTTTATCTTTAACAAGATACCTGGTTTTGTTCTTGTATAACACAGCTGTTATCTTGAACAATTTACAATTCGTTATTATGTTACATACTGTGTTAACTTTAATAAGATACATGTCTGGTTTGTATAACACAGTTTTTTTTGTAACTTTAACAAGACACCTGTTAGTTTTTGTTTGTCTACACACAATTTGTTTTATCTTTTACAAGATACCTGTTTTTTTTTATGTATAACACATCTTTTATATTTAAGAATACACAATTTGTTTTTTTAAATAACAATGTGTTTTCATCTTTAACAAGATACATGTTTGTTTTATAACACATCGTGTGCAGTATACAATTTGTTGTTATATAACAATTTGTTTTATCTTGAACTAACATTTTTTTCTTTAACAAGATGAAATTTGTTTTGTTAGAATTTTTTTTTATCCTAACCATGAATTTTTTGTATACCACAGTTTTTGCACATCTTTTATCTAGACCAATACACAATAATTTGTTTTATCTATAACATGATACATGTCTTTTTTTTTTTTGGTATAAAACAATTTGATTTATCTTGCACAATATATAATTTGATTTCATATAACAATGCAATGTTTGCCCTTAACAAGATACAATTTGTTTTCATATAACAATTTTATACCTTTAACAAGATACATTTTTTTATATAACACATATTGTATCGTTAACAAGATACAATTTGTTTATTTTATAACTTTTTTGAATCTCTAACAAGATACGTTACACGAATCAGATATGGTATTCATATAACACATATCAATAATTACCGCTGGGACCTTTTATACCTTTTTTATTTTTATTTTGTTTTCTTTTCTTTTATATATTGCTATTAGGTAATAATAACAATACTAAAATCACATGTATTCAACGACATAACTGTCAAAAATACATGTCAAACCAAACGTACACTTCAAATATGAAAGAATTGATGGCATGCTGCTAATAAACACCAGATACACAGAATTTACTACAAATTTAAATATTACATCATACTTCTTGCCAAATAATGAGATGCCGATTTCTCCATCACTTTTTTTGTATGTACCCGTACCTGAGTGGAAGTTTAATATTTTATTATTGAAAAAATGTATCAGGTTTCGGAATGTAAGTCTACGGCTGGTACAGTTGTTATAACAGGAACCTACTTTAGATATTGATAAGAATATCCCACAAATTGTGGTGTATTTCGATCGATTTTGTTCTGGTGAGTTTTGTGACTAAACGCATTATAGTAATTTTACAAGTTTATTATTTTACACATTTGTAACCAAAGTTGTAATAAATTTTCAAATTGTTATAATTTTTATTTTGATATATGGTACAGCCTTTTTATATTCATTTGCCTGCAACAATTCTTACATATTTGAAGTGACCTCTTCTCTGGACCAGTATTAATGGTTTGGCTATTTGCGACAGAGAATGCCGTTAGCAAGGCAAACTCTTTCACCATAACCAGACACATAAACAATGGTTTTCAAGAGGTCGCTCATGTGGTCTCTCGACAGCTGCCTGTGAAAAAAAGCAGAAAACAGAACGCCAATACAATTATAACTATAATTATAAAACATGTAAAAAACATCTTTATGTTCATATAAACCGACTTTGAAACCTTGATGAGTACTTACATGTACATGTTTGATTAGTACTTACATGTATATGTCTAAAAAGGAATATCATTGCACAATAACTTTCATATTTGAAAAAAATCCAACAGGATCAAAATGCGAATCTGCACTCTTAAATATGTATTGTGAGCTAGGATAATTTCCTACCAAGTGTCGGTGGTTCTCTCCGAGCACGAAGCCTTATTCGTAAATACAAAATGGCCAACAAACGTGCTTTAACTAGAGTTAAACCCCTATTAATTATTCAATCAATGAATCATGATGATGAATAATGGCATTGAACACACTTTTAGATGCATATTTGACGACAAAATTCTACTTTCTATGCTTTTTATATATTTATTAACAATTTAAACTGGGTTGTTCCAAACCTAAATTTAAATGGACATGTTGAAAATGATTTTTGTAATGATTATGATAGTTTTGTTCGGTAAAACCCAGTTTTGTGATCATCAATTTTTCTAAACTCCTTTCAAAAAAGTGTAAACCGTTATATCATATTAATATATCACATTCTTATAATTTCCCTTACTTTACTAAATCATTGACATTTTCAATGAGATAATATTGTTTTTTACTGCTGATACAATGGGATTTTTTCCCGATTGTTGTTCAAACAAACTGTTTTTGCTATGGTGAATAACAACCTTTTGGTTTCATTTAAGATTTGCGTTGTCTACCATTAATTTTAACCATCGTGCATGCATGTAAAGCAGATTTTTATCTGTTTTACCGATAGCCAATAATGGGGCATAGCTAATAATGCATGATTATTTTGAAGACCAAAAAACAGCTATTTGAATAAAATTATTTTCGAGTATTGTTTTAATACAACTTATACTACAAACGACAAGAAAGTTATCATAACAGTAAATATTTCTGCCATGCTTTCGAACCAATACTACGTGATGTCCTCGACTACATATCCGCTGGCAATGTTCGTCGATAATAACTAGTTTGTTACCTTCACATACCATGTCTTGTGAGTATTTTGGAATCAAAACAATGTCTTTATAAGAGTATAACGTATTATAATTTGCATAAAGCTCAACAGGCAGTTGATACAAATATATGTTGTAAAGGGAAATTGTATAATAGATTTCGGAAACACATGGAATGGAAATTTTAAAATATGTCAGATCAATTTTTAGTGATGCATTGTAAATTTCACGTTTGATTGGCAAAGTAATTTTAATCTGACATTCGCGGCCGCGAAATGCCAAACCAAAAATACCAGCCTAGTGAACAGGCATCTGACAAGCAACCGCACAAGCAACCCCTCTGAATTGTTTTCTCCTCTTCCTTTGAATGTTAAAGTAATTCATCCTAAATGAATCTGCATGTTCATGTAATAACCAATTACATAAACTACAGTATATCCTTAGTAGTTTCTCATCTGCCATTATGATACCAATTAAGGAATCTACAAGTATACATATATATACATATAAGACTATGTCAATGTTAATTATCATATAAAATATATTATGCTGCAATAGATAACGATTGGTTTCGGCAGCGGTTAAATCAAGGGATGAAAGGGGTAACAAATTCAGGAACAACATATACACTGAAGGGAAGAATGGCTGTCTCTTCCAAACACGTGCCTTTTAACTGTTTTCGCTTTGTGAACAACGGCGTGTTTTTTTTTTACATACATTGTATATCTATACTTAGTGCAGAATATGCAGATGAACATATTTATGGTTGTTACAGTTAACCCCATGTGAATCTACATGTATCGTAACCTTTGTACAAAAATTTAAAGGTAAAACGAATCAACAACGATTTTTTCCAGTTAGATAAATGTACAGCAAAAATGCAGTTTTGTTTTCCTAAATGATGAAAATTTAATGAATTTTTATTATTTCAACAGAATTAATAAACAAATTTACAGCATTATCTAAAATTCGAATATAACGGCCAAGGCATTTCAAACAAATCTATGGCTTCCATGAATAATTTCGATTATAAAAGGACAAATACGGTAATGTAAAACAAATGAAGTGAGTATGCTGTGTGTGTGACTGGGCCCGTATGCATAAAACATCTTAACTTAAGTGTTCCTTAAACTTAGATTTCACTAAGATTTCCCTTAGTAAAGTAAAGTTTTTGAGTCGTATGCATAAACTTACTTAAGTCTTCACTTAACTAATGAATATTTAAATTGGAACTTTCTCTAATTACCGTATGATATATATATATATTAGCTCACCACATGTAATGTACTCATCGGTGTAAAAGTTTGTTGTGATTATTTACATTGATCAATTTGATCAATACATACTTTTATTTTAAAGAGCTGGGGTTAAACTGATATTGGTATGTAAAACAATTCAATAGTACGTAACATAGTACAATGTTGAAACAAATGAAAAATTGGCGCATAGGAGATAAGGTTGACGTTTTGATGGATGAGCATGGGAAGAAAAAAACAATATTTGTAATCCAAAAATTTCCCCTACTTCTCCTTAATCTTTAATTCATATTTCATGGATGTAATGTTTTTTTCGATAAGAATTTTACTTTAATTTGGCTGCCATCTCCCCTTCCAGACCCCTTACTTACATTTTCTTTTTGGGTTTTAAAAAATCTATTTCGATTTGAAAAAAAAACATTTCATATCACTTACCTTTTACAACCAAAACAAAAAAGGGTGGGGGTGCGGGAGTTTGGGGGTGCGGGAGTTTGGGGGTGGGGGATGTGGGGGTGATGGTTAGGTTCAATTTTCTACAAATCCATATAAAACTAGTGCATTTTTCAAAAGTCCTATGATCTTTACTAAAACACATTATTAGATTCATATGTTTACGTTAAGGTATTATCAACATCTTAGCTTACTCAGCAATGTTTTCGTTAACAGCAATATATCACTAAATATATAAGAAAATCTGAAAAATAATTTAATACGGTTTAGGTATCATAAATATGTTATATAAACTTCGAAATACATGGAGTAGCAGTGGCTGATCCAGAAATATTCATAAGGGATTGGGGAAAAGGGTTTGGGTGGGGGGGGGGGGGGGGGAACGGGGGTACTGACTGCCATAAGAGGGGGACCGCTCCAGTGATTCCCTAAACAATAAACCAAATTGATTCAACAAAATAGAGGTTCATGCCCCCCCCTGAAATCCGCCTCTTGGTAGATCATAAAACTTCAAACTTAATCGATTTTGTTCCTGTAAGTGAAAATTTCTCCTACATTTGCCCTACATCTTTAGAATAAAACCAAATAATTGAAAATTCAAATTATACCCCCCCCCCCCCCCCCCCACACACACACACGAGTTTGAGAAATAAGGATATAATGAAGTATATATGTACCCTCTGTTATCTCTTGATTTGTTGATATACGTGATTTGAAGAAAATTACGATGATCGTTAATATGGAGCAAATAAACAAACGAATTATTAGTATTTTATAAATGATATAATTATTAATCAATTAAATTGTAGTTAATCTATTAATTTTCTGCAAAAAACGCATACTTTCGACTCATTTTTAACTATTTTTGAAAATTAAAGGTACCTTAGACTTAAGTGTAATCTTAGGCGCATTCTTAGTTTAAGGGGTTTTATGCATACCACTTAATTTTTGGGGGCGTGACCTAAAACAACTAAGATTTTACAAAGGAAATACTTAGTTTAAGATTTTTTAAGCATACCACTTAAATAAAAAAATGCGGAGTTCCGTAACTTAAGAGTTTACTAAGGAAAATCTCAATTTAATTAGCTTGATGCATACGGGCCCTGGTCTATTTTACCTCTTGTTTGATAAAGCTAAAAAAATATCCAATATATATTTATAGTTTGTATGAATTATTTCTTAAATAAACGCTAGAAAAATGTGTTTAATTCTTTTTATTCTCAACCCCAACAATTGCCTTATTTAATTTACATTTCTTTCTCGTAAGCTACCGTCAAATTCACAGTTGACATTTTGTAACTAAGAAGTCACCATGTTGACGTGCTGAAATCGGTAAATGTGCGAATAATGCAAGTGAATAGAAAATAAAACAACACATATCTCAAAACTCCATTTTAATTCAATATCATCCGCATTTTGAGGGTTCACGTAACGGAACAAAATCTTTCAGCTTTAACGTATTAATTTGTATGACGTCATGTTTTGAAAAGGTTTTAATGTGCCAAAAGAATTAATCGAATTTTGCAGTTCATTTTTTATTTCGTACATTATTTTGTTATGGATCAGACTAAGAATAAAGGTTCTGCTGCTTTTTTTTTTTCAATTGCTATTTTTTTTACAGCAAAATCAGCATAGCGTTTGCATGTAGGTTACGATACTTATGGATTTACGTAGGATAAATATTATAACAGCCATTATTGTGTACTTTTTTGAGTCTATGCTAAGTATAGATATATCGAGAATATTAATTTTTCAAAGCACCGAATCAGCAGTCTATTCTTAAAATCTATTGCTTGTGTCTTTTTCCTATGATGACATACGTATACTGAATCTAGGTTTGCATTGCGAGTTATGCATGCATAAGAGAAAACCCTCACCATTGAACGATGTCTATTTTAGTAATGCCACTATTCGACATTAAAAAAATATAATAATAAAACTCTTATACACATTAAATATCGGGATGAACAAGCACCAATTATGTAACAATCAATTCATGGTAAATGCTTCTGTCATTTAAATAATTATACTAAAAATAAACTCTCACCAAAGAAATCAGGGCTCGTATGCATAAAGCTACAAGTTAAGATATTCATTAAGAAAAACGAAAGCTAAGACTATCACAACGGTATACTTCTATTGCCTTCATTCATTCACCACTTATTTTATTGATTTTGTATCATAGATCAAATTTATTCATTCAGTGTATGTTCACTTGTGTTAATATGTACTTACAAATAATTTGAAAAACCTTTTTTAATAAGAATTTATTCCACTTTAATCGTTCAGTTTCTGGCGGGCTGCCGGTCCACCGTCCAGACCCCCTGCTAATAATATCTTTTTGGTATGAACACAATTTCGATTTGAAATATAATTTTCTGTTACTTCATTTTACAACAAAAAAGGGGTAGGATCAAATTTCCATTAATTTATTCAGTCCGACAATCTTTACTAAAACATATATTATTAGATTTATATGTTTACGGTAAGATATTACCAATATCTTTATGCATCAAGATTACTCAGACCTACATACATTCTTGCTAGATTTTAGACAAATTTATGCAATTATCCAAAAGTAGCGAGATTAATAATCATATTGGAAGTGATTACAACATTGTCTTTCAGGGGAACTTCGCCTTACATCTTTAGTGTAAAACTAAATAATTTTCTTCCTTCATACTGTTTTTATCTACTGGTTACAATTGATACAACGAGGTGTATTTTAAAAATATAACATTCAGAGTAATTTGTGTAAGCATGAACGTACAGAGATATCAAAAGAAAAATAATGGCATAAATACCATGCGTGTAAAAACAGGAGGCTTTTCGGTATTCACAACAACGAAATAGAGAAACATGGGTAGAATGAAATAATATAGATGCCCTCTGTTATCTCTTGATTTGTTAAATATATACTTGATTCCAAAGGGGCACTAGCTACCAGATATAGAAAATAATAAAATATGATTTACTAGTATTTTGTTCAATCTTTAAGGAAAGTTAAATAGTGAAATAAAATTCGCTTTTAGCAGCCAGTTTAGTTCAGTTTTGTCAAAATAAGCAAAATGTACTCACGGTTTTTACACGCATGAAATTCATGTTATTATTATTATTCTATTGATTCCCTGTTCGTGAATACTTACATAAACAACATTGAACGTTATATTGTTAAAATACACAACCTGGAATCGATTGTTAGTACAAAACGGTATGAAGAAGTCGACGATGATCTGTAGGCATGTTAAGGATGTTCGCAACTCTGTTTCAGGATAACAATTTTTTTAAAAGACTATAAACAAGGAATTATTTGAATCTGAAATAATTTTGAATTCTGGAAAATTGATGAGAAATTTATGATGAAAACTAACCCAACTAAATAGGTTTGGCTAAGGGGGATTATTTAGTTCATACAGAAATGATAGTAAAAGTAAAATTAAACTTAACCATGCGCGCATGGCTAACCCTATTTAGTTGGGTTAGTTTTCATCATACATTTCTAATCAATTTTCAAGAATTCAAAATTATTCCAGATTCAAAATTTCCTTGTTTATAATAGATTGATAGCATATAAATAAAGGAACTATAAACGCAGGAAAAAATTAAAGGTTCCGTGTTGAACTGTTCTTATTTTGAGATATAAGGCTTTGACAGTTAGGCAGGAAATGATTATCTCTAGATTTTTTAAACATTAAAATTCAAAATGTGTGAAAAAAATACAAGGACTTAATAAGATTTTCAAAGATGGCATTTCAAACTATATTTATTCAAATTAT